ATAGGCAAAATTCCCAGAAGCCAACTCAGATTTCATCCAGTTTTGAAATATTGTTATCGTGAACAAGAACATGTAAAATGTTTATTGACGATATGATAATATTTGATTTATTTGGTAACTGTATAGCTCCAATGGCATATTTATGAGGAAAGGTTAATAAATAATGTTATAAACATTATAATTCACTTAACTACAGAATCAATTTTAATTCTCCAACTAGAAATATAGAATCTGACACATTTTTATAATAACTGAACGGCTTGGTGATCTGTGACTTTTTAAATGAGTAAATAAATTTCCAGTTGGGCTATACAAGGCGATTCAAGTCGAGCTGATTGATACATTGACCTGAGAATCCTAAAGGTAAAATAACAAGAACATCTACAAAAGAAAATTTCCTCAGTAGATATATCAACCCCATGGATAAAAAGAGAAAAAATATTAATATGGAATCTTAAATGAAATTAATAAATTGAATTGAATCGAATATACGATTTATTCTGGGTTTTCATGACTGAGAAGCGACACAAGTATGGCAGGGTGCAATATGGACGTGACAGGGTGCAAAATGGACGCTATTTGAAGAATATATATTTTTTACAAAATTATAATTCTCATTAGATAAATGAGAGTTAGTCGCCGTTCGATGAAAGCAAACAGAGACTGCAAATCGTGACGTGGTACTCGCTCAGTGCTGATCAGACGACGATTGATTATATGACCTGATAACGGATGGTTCTGTTGTTTCTTCTAATAATGATGAATCTATTTATTCACGAAGTAGCCTAGTTTGGAACTTTAATTTCGTATAAACCGATCGTTATGACGGATTATATGCAATATCTGAGGGATCATATCGTAATAAAGAACACTTGGCTTTTGTTCAAGTTAAGTTAATCTCTGCTGAGTGGGATATAAAACTTGTAATTTATTTAAAAGAAGAATTATAAATTGCGTAAAACTACGCAGGAAATCCTTTGTGTATGATTTATCGTAGAGTCTTCAATCAAAACAAGCATTTTTTCAAAACAAGGTATTTATATAATCAATTGTGGCGACTAACCCTTCGGCAAAGTTATGACGATGACCTTACGTGGCGGGCATTGGACCTGCGCATGGTAGTTTGACACTGGTAGTTTGATATGACTCGTGCATTTATCTATGCTTTTAATTAAATTATTTCTCAAGATATGACTTAAAGTGCTAATTCGGTAATTTCTGTTTATTTTTTCTCACTGCAATATATTAAACAGATATTGGTAAGTAAAAATAGTATTCCAACAAACTCTCAACTCATTCTGCTTGTTCATTCGTGGCAAAATAAGATTTCCCGGGAAAAACATGACGTCACCAACAGAACCGGTTATGGATTTTAATCGGCAATGCGTTATGTAACTCGAATGTAAATTCAAAAGTGTTCATGTTATAAGTTGTGTTCTGATTGGCCAGAAAGGAGTAACCTTTACCGGAAATCACCTCATGGTCCAATGCCTTTTGGTTACAAGATGTTAGACGCCTTGAGTTATGTAATACTGTCAACTGAGCGTGTTTATTTTCTATATTGTGTTCTGACTGGCCAGAAAGTAATTCTGCATGACTAGCTATGTGAAAACGTACCGCTGGGTCGGAGGCTCTAATTTAGGTATTATTTTTTTGTTTATCGGAGGAAAAAATGTGGCTCCAAAGTAGTCATCTCTGAATCAATTCCTCACTTCATTGAATGCAGTTGCAATCAATTACACTAACACTTTATAAGCACGTTCGGAGATTATGAACTCCAACAACATATTCAAAACCCGCAATCAAGCAATATTCCTGATATGTTCTATTTCTTTAAAAAATATGTTGTTAATACAGAAATTGCTATTATCTCGATTGTGTTTAAATGAGGCTACATGTTTAGATGATTCATCTGAGATTTATACTTGGTTTATGTGGATAATGCATTTTCCTTCATTTGTTATCAAAGATAAGTCTATTGAGACATTATTATTCTCGACCATCATCTTTACAATTGTCATTTCCTTTCCAGACATTATAACTTCCTTACAGGACATAATTGCCTCTGTAAACCTCTGTAGATAGAATAAATGAGCTAATGATTTTATTTTCTAAGATTAGACAGCGTATTCCCGCTGTGAGATTATCCGATGGGATTATGTACTCATAATGAACGTCAATTAGACATGACATGTGTACGTTACTCCAACGAATTGTACAATTCGAGTACGTTACTCAAACAAATTGTACAGTTTGAGTACGTTCACTCAAACAAATTGTACAATTGAAATACGTTGTTACTTAAACAAATTGTACAATTAGAGCACGTTGTCTCTCAAATAAATTGTACAATTCGAGTACTTTACTTAAACAAATTGTACAATTACGTAGTCTTTCAAATAAATTGTACAATTCGAGTACGTTACTCAAATAAATTGTACAATTAGAGTACGTGGTAACTCAAACAAATTGTACAATTAGAGTACGTTGTTACTCAAACAAATTGTACAATTAGAGTACGTTGTCACTCAAATAAATTGTACAATTCGAGTTCGTTACTCAAAAAAAATTTACAATTAGAGTACGTTGTTACTCAAACAAATTGTACAATTAGAGTACGTTGTTACTTAAACAAATTGACAATCTACAATCCGAGTACGACTACGAATATTTTATCCAACAGGGTATATTAATGATACTTATGAGGTTACACATCGTGATTCATGAAAGTAATTATTATGAAACTATAATAATGCGGAGGTTGATCACATGATAGTATGGATGATTGTCTTCTGATTTTTGAAATTAATTTGAAATAAGGTTCACATTCCCAAATGAAAGATTAATGAATTTGTTTCACCTTTGTCCTTAACCATTAATTCATCATTTATACAATAGTTAGTATCCTTGTCAAATAAAGACCTTTGTCTTGGACAAAATCAGGGACATTGGTTTATGTTTAAAGAATTTTCTGATATTAATCATGGATTTTACATCTGGAAGCTTAAAATTTATTAGTTGTAAGGAAAACAAGCCCCTACTATCCCAAACCATAATCCATATGAAAAAGCAATGTATTATACCCCTTCCCGACATTCAAGTACCATTATCACAATCCGAGACCATATACCAAGGGACATTTCAATCATACTGAAGTCATTAATGTTGAAGAATAAATTTTGAATTGGTAACCAATACTCATAACATCAAAAACAATTGTACATCTATCTAGTATTCATACAAGATAGAGATCATGCAGTCTCAAATGATGTCTGATCCAAAAAATGCAATCGTACGTTCTAGATTAGCCTTGCCCCAAGTCGGTATTTTTTACTTTATCTGATCTTGAATTATAATAGAAATCAAGATAAGTAAAAGAGACCTACTTGGGGCAAGGCTAATTCTAGATATATTTCACAAATCTGTTATACTATTAATGCACATGAATTCCAGAGGATCTAGCAAATAAAACGGAGTTATGTTATGTTTGAACCATTTGAGAAAGTGTCAACCATTATCTGAGTCTCGTCTTTGATTACTCGAGAGCTCTGTAGGCCTCTTCCAGGTCTCTGGGACCGTCGCAGTAATTACAATTTAAAGAGACAACATTTTGGTTTAACGAGGGTAATCGAGTGATGGATGTTAATGTTTATCATTGATTGGGCTTGGCAGTGTCCAGCAAATGTCCGATCTTCAACTTCGAAGATGGCGGCCATTATAATAAATGGAAGTTGAAGCAAATGGAAGCTTGTTAATCAAATAGGCAAATGTGCCCATCTGCAGTCAAAGGGTATTTAACATTTAACATATTGAATTAGCGACGGAGCTCATTAAAGAACTATAATTCTAAATACTAGTACTCTATTCATTCAATAGCCACTTTGCTATTTGAACTCTATCACTTTTCTGTTTTTTGTTAAGTCACTCACAGACTGGGGAGAAACCTTGATTTTAATGGGTGTCTAAATATTTTGGGGGTAAATTGACCAGGGGCTATTCAATCTACACAGTGAATATTCTTTAGATTTACAAAATTCAAAAATCACACAAAAAATACAAACGTGTCGTGATACGGACAGTGAATCGCATATTGAATCAAAATAACTAGCTAGCTCTTAAAGATACAATACAATACTAAGATCATCAAAAATGTTCACTTACAATAGGATATTGAACCGTGCATAATTGCTTACAAAAATGTCAATATAGTACTTCCCCTGCGAATAGGGAATAATATGTCAAAAATTAAAGGTGTTACAAGCCGTTGCGAATACTAACGTTAATCATCAAAATATACTACATAGCACTGAGAAAAGAGAAATGATTACATTCATCGCCAAATAACTCTGAATTCATGGTTTTGGGAGAATCGTGAATAACCAGTGAATGTGCTTATCATCCGCTGGGGAGTTATTCGATCTAAAAGCAAATGTTTCATGATCGCAGTATCTTACAAATACAAAATGCATTATTTGTTGACATGTTTACGGAACATCGAATCTTGCTTTAGTAATAATGATAACCTTGTCATAAAAATATATTTAGTGTGGATCAAGACATCGTACCAACCCTGGAAGACGATGACAGGAAAATAGGAGAATCAAATGCGTTTTCTATAAACACTAAGCACCCCACACTGAATGGGCTGGAATGAGAGAATGTTTTGTCAGAGCGGTTGATACAATCAACATTGCTTTCAGTTATATTCCTGTTACAACGATGACATTAATAAGTGTCAGCTTTATTTCTGTTTTAACGATGATGACATTGCAATTGATGATCAGTGTCTCTTAGTCCTGTCAGATATGTATTCATGATAACAAGGATGATTGGTTCCCCTGTGGCATGTTCTATTCATACAACACAGTTTCAGCTCTACTTCCGTTATTACACCAATTACACCTATTTATACATGTTATTGTCTTTGTTACAACGATTGCTCATTATGTTCCAAGGATAACAACAGTGGCCATCATGTGTATTTTTATTTGTATTTTCAGCTCTGTTCATGTGATAATGATGGCGTCGAAAATGCAGGAAGATTCAGAGTTGAGACGGGAGATCGAGAGGTTGAAGACGTTAGTAGTTTTTTGTAATTGAATGTTGACTGTTATTTTTATTTCGTTTTCGTCGTCTGTTCCGATTTTTGCACTATGGTACCATTTATGATAACTTACCAAATGGTGATATTTGTCATACTAATGGCCTGACAGAATTAAAATTCAGAGAGACATTTAAGACTTTCATCATCAAACAGTGTAATAAGTAATTACTTACTGGCAGTCCCCATCGAATACTGTGTTAGAACCATATAATAATTATTATCACAATTCTCTTCCTCAATCACAATATTAGACTAGGACTGTATTTTTGTATGTCCGATGTGCTAGTAAATTGCGTAATGTTTTAATGTGGTTTGTCCCCAGGTATCACTAAAAGAACAATAAGCCATGTAGTGCATATAACATGCCCTGGGTGTTCAACGAAAATAGCTGACCCAAGCGCACGTACAATCACATAATTATTTTGAAAGAAATCACGGTTTATTGCAATCGAACTCCCCTGGTGCACTAGCAACTAGACGATCATGCGCTTGCCACACGCGAACAGTCGACAATCTTGCCACAGCCTAATAACCAAGATGCGAGTAGAAATAATCTTGATTTACGTCATTAAAAATTCAAAATTCAGTCAAAGTAATATCATATTTGAAATCAACATGTAAAATTATATCTAAAAATGTGGTTTTAAAAGTGTTTATCAACTTTGAAAAATTTATTTTCTTTGAAAATGTGACTTCTAGCTCGGGGAGATTCGCCATAGACCCCATGCTATAAAATCACAAAAAATGAAATTTCTTTTCTTTTAGTGGACAGATAATATTTTGCTTTACTGGACATATTTTCATTAGTATAAGTATCAGACACATAAGGGTTATATGAAAATTGATCCACTTAAATTGATAATATTCAAGTTTAAGGGAACTTTCTTATATACCTGCCATGTTAATTGACCCGAATCAGCCACCTGGTGGTGAAACTGGTAACTACCTACTCGCATTTGGGTAATTAGCAGTTTATGTGCGCTTGGATGAACTGCTTTTGTTGAAAACATGTGAGCATGTAATTTGTAATGCATGTGCTCATTGTTGATACCGTAGGACAATATTATGCAATACAGTTGCACCGTGAGCAGTTCAGAAAACGCAGCCTAGAGGTCGATATTTATGACTGATGAATGTGTTGAAATAATCATTTGACAACAATAAAGGAGCTTAGTTTTAACGCGTGGTACATTTGGAGGGGGCGTGACTCTCCCAATATTTATATTGGAGAATCAGCTATTATATGTACCTTCGCGCCAAGGAGGATTGGCTCCCAGAGTGCACCACCGATATTCTGTCCCATATATGGGTATGTCGTAATACAAAATTCGAATTCAAACAGCCGCCATTTTGTTCACTTCAACATTTAAATCGTGAATTTTGGTCTTATTTCCAAACGAAAAATTCCAAAACTCACAAGAAATGATCGAGATATTGGTTCGAATCTTTTGAACTGTTTATTTTGAATTTATAGTCGGTTTTAATTTCAGAAAATAACGACATTTCGACGTTTTCATTGTTGGAAAATATCGAGTTTCGATCCTGGGAGCCAATCCTCCTTGTTCGCGCACAACTTATCCACTGAACGAAACATGACTTCCCGGCGAACTACCCGGGTATTGATATATATATTGAGCTTGCATTGATTTGATATTTATTTGTAGTTCTCTAGCCCACTCAACAGTCCCGTGCATCTTGAAAATCCAGAGTCACAGACAAGATGGTACTTCAGATACTTTCTTGGAAAAAGTATGTCTTACACATGTAAATCAATTAGCAACATTTCCTGAATAAATTGCACAAATACGAACATGAGAGTAGTAGCAAATGATAGAGCGTATTGAAAAAATATTTAAAAAGATCTTTTAGGATCTTTAAGAACTTATGTGGAATATTGTGAGGAAAATGCTATAAAACGCTGACAATTGTTATTGAATGATATTCTCTTTTCTTTTCTGAACATTCGATAAATAAGATATTTTGATTAAACAACACAGCGGTTAACAGTTTGAAACGAATACTCTTATAAGCTCTTATACTTTGAGCAATGGACCTGTAAACGTCTTGTAACTTGAACGAAATTGGGCGTTTCCGTACATTTTGCACATTTATCATGACTGTGACTACATGTAGTGCATGATGTTAGGTTTAATTACATTTGAATCATGCTTACATTAACAAGTTTCCCTTCCAGTGCATCAGAACTACGTAGGGACAATAGACTCAAGCTCAAAGGACCCATTCTTTCTGTCAGTTGTAGTGACTGATGCTAATAACCACAATGTGCCTCAATATAGGGCGATATTGTGGCGAACTACGGTAAGTGAACGATGTGCATTGAATTAACAATGGTAAACTGCCAAAATATTAGGTTTTATTATACCTTAACATTCGTTAATTACTAAACTAGAATATTGGTTGGCTGCCCGTGTGTCTTTGTCAAACGTTTTCAACATACCTGTAGATCTGTTTCAGCAGAACCACGTTAATTAAGGATGTTGTATATGTTTGCAATTGTTGTAGTCTGTGCCATTGAACATATAAAATGTCCCATTGATATGGTTTCTTGAAATCCTTTAATTAAATTATTTTCCCATTGATATGGTTTCTTGAAATCCTTTAATTAAATTATTTTCAAATTGTATTGTATAGAAAATGTTCTTGTGACTTTTTTGTAATCATGATTTTTGAAAGATGATGATTGAGGACATTTAGTATAACTTTTATGTCATTGTTATGACATAAGAGAGTCACCAAAATATGTATATACAAGTGCCTAAGGGGGAATACAAAATGGTGTTACCGTTAATGAGTCGTGGACACATTCCACGACTTCGTGGCCAATGGACATTTCATGCATACTGAAGACCATAATAATATATGTTGAAGAAAAAACTAAAGTTGAAATACAATTATAATATTGAGACTTAGTTATATCGAAAATAGACTGGTATTCAAGCAATATTGAACATGTCTAAAATTATATGTGCACAAAGACACAATTCAGTTCCGGAAGTATCTAGTAAGAAAGTTAACATTTGTTTAAATAAGCTGATAGCATGCGACATTATATCAAAATAGAATGATTTATTTGTCAAATTGCCATGTCACCAATCAGATGATGAAGCTGTTACGTGCCAAAGACTTTCTTAGATTGGCGCTAAATCATGACATTAACATTGTTCTTGTTCGAATCTATTCCGAAACCATCAATAGAAAGTCAGGTTAACTTATAAAGCTAGTGCTTCGTCTTACTTGTATTTAGTTTAAAGGCACAACGCGTCGAAAACAACTCAACGAATTCAAGGGAAATAGGCATTATTGCCATTTATCCAATCGGGCAATTCCAACCATTGGGATTGCAAGCGTGTTTTACGAAATATATTCATCAAAATTATTCAACGACCCAAGGGATGTGCTTAAATTCAATATAATGGAAGAGATAGATGCTATCTTCTATATGAGCTCATTTTCCCCTGGATTTTATTATTAATAAAAAAACTATTTTCTCAATAAATCCAATGAAAATTACGTAAACCTTCTAGATTTTCTTCATTTTCGTCAAAACTCATACTTGTAAGTTCTTTCCAAAACACCGAGACTACTTCTGAAATCTAGTTGATAAATATTGATGCCACGTTGTATAAATATTATGATATTATCGGGGAGTTGTTATAAAGAGTGTTCAATATTTTACATTCTCTTAAAATTGCAGTCGATGCCTAGGCAATGATCTAATATGTGCCAATGTATTATTCTGCATTATACGAAGGATTGTGATTTATAAAATGTTCATCGCATTGTTGTTATATTTTACAGGGCACACAAAAGATCTGCTTACCTTACAATCCAAATAAGCCGAACACTGTGAAAGCAATCTTAAGGTATGGACAAACCAGAAATATTCTCGGTGAAACGTATTGAACTCCTTTGTTAATAGTATTATGCTCATTTATCAAAAATAAGTAATAGTTCAATATATAATATCTAGTCCTTGAAACAATTCTCTCATTTTTATATACTGGTGATATATTATATATTTCATTATGGATAAAATAAGGTGAAATGCGTCCTCCCGATCCCTATGTTTGTTAATATTCCACCTGGTCGTATTCAGAAGCCTCTCTTCAATAACATCTCTGTATGACCAACTTTCACCAACATATTAATTCCTTAGATGGTGTCAAACTGCTTATTAATATTTTCGATATTTGAGCACTAAACATTCAATGCATTATTGTAAACGTTTTGTCGGGGTTCGTATTTTTTATATGTAGATAGTTATGGCAACATAGTATTAACACATATTTGTGGAAAGATACAAATTCTTACTGTTACCAAATCCCACTAAAAGATATCGCATTTGTTGCTTCATCTAAGGCCCAACATATACCGTTAACTTAATATATTCTAAAGTGCTCTGCCCGACGCTTGTTCGACGCTTATTTGGGGAATTTATGTCTTTGTATAATAATTGAGTTAGCCAGCTGATTACGATACAGACCATCAAGTAAATGATATTCATTTGGAAGTATAATCAATGAATATATGCAATTTTGAAGCAACCCTTGGTATCACAATGATAAATGAATCGTGTATAACGAAATGCTAGTATACAGTACAATACACTATATGTTGCATCTAATCTCTTGTTTCAGCCATTTTGATCTTCATAAGCTGGACAAGGGACCAAAAGAGATATTCAATCCAGAGATTCAGAAAGAATTATTGGTCCTAGAGGAACAAGAGGTATACATAATAGACGCATATACTAGACTCAGATGGCTTGGATATATTGTAGACAGAGATAAAAGCTACATTAGCAATTCGTGACTTGTGGTCATCTTTTCCAAATCTTACTTCAAAAGCAATGAAGAAAGGTTTATTTTTATTTAGTGATTTACATTAGGGAAACACATACCCCTGTGTCACACATGAACTGTATAATCAAATAAATTACTTTTACTTTTGAACTATGGCTGAATTCAGTTGCATTGTGAAATTTAAGACAAATAAGCACGTTTTAAAACTTAAAGGAAAAAATTATGATTGATTATTGAATACATGTCGATTATCATCTGCATATTTTTCAGGGATCTGTGAATTTCAAGTTCGGTGTCGTGTATTGTAAAGATGGACAATCCTCTGACGATGATATGTATAACAATGGTGAGCTTGTTCCCTGTGTCAATTGAAGTATATCTATATATTTATAGTAGTATACATTGTAATATTTCGTGTGTACATCACTTAAGTCTCTTGTTACCCCTTTAAGTCTACCAGGGATAGCCCCTTGAATGCCCATGTTAAAAAATCCTCTTTACAGGTCCATGATTTATTTGACCCATGTACCCAAAGTCTGTTAATGGTTGGATCAGATGCAGGTTGACAATCCATTCATGTATGTATTCGTCATATTTCAGAGATTGGAAGTCCTGAATTCCAACGATTTCTCAATCTCCTTGGCGACAGGGTGCCATTGAAAGGATGGGAGCAGTTCAGGGGCGGTCTTGATGTCAAAAGTAGGTCAATGTTTTTCTGACAATTAGATACCCTAGATTACGAATAACACATGTAATTTGAATAAATTGTAGAGAGAGAATTGCATTGAAATTGTTTGAATGAAGCTGTTTTAGAAATTTAGAAGGATGTTTTTCTTCATGCTACCAATCCTTTTCCAGCAAATTCAACTGGTGAGGAATCTATATATACAGTATACGAAGGGCATGAAGTAATGTTCCACGTATCCACAATGTTGCCCTTCTCCGACTCAAATAAACAACAGGTACCTACATATTAACTATGTATTACAGTAAACATTTAAGAATACAAGACTTTAGTTTATATATTCCGGGAATATGAGACATATAGCAAAACATATGCTTATTATATGTTTATGATGGTTGTAGTGTAATCTGATTTCACATCCATTAAGACTAATTGAAGATATCTGTGAATCATTTTTATCGGTCCATCATTTCCATTAAATGCATCTATAGCCACTCAGTTATTAGTGTAACTTATACTAACAAGACACATGATCCTTAAACCACAATTTCCTTTTGAATCCTCGTAACATATCGTATTCATATAATTTCCTTGAAAATGAAAATGTTTATTCTAAGTATGCTTTCTAATGTTCCACATCAAGCAAAATAACTTTGTTGAATATGTGACGAATCAATGTGAAGTCCTCACATAAAACTTTTGTTCGATACCTTTATAATTTTCTTTAACTGATTTATTAATTAATTGTGTTTTATGCTTTCCAGGTTGAGAGAAAAAGACATATCGGAAACGATATAGTAAATATCATTTACGTAGATGAATGCGATTCTAACAAAATGCCGTCATTTCGGCCTTCCTCCATGAAAACTCAATTTACACGTATCCTTTGAAGAAAATGATATAGTTATACATACAATAAGCTAATTGTTAGAGACTTTGAAAGTTGAGTGGATTGAATGAACTACATGGTCGATGGTTTTAACTATACTTGTACTATAACAGACGAACTGAGCAATAAGATAAAATATTTAAAAATCATTTTCAAAAAGATTCCATTCACATTACTGCTTATTGGATCGAAATTATAAAATATGTTTATTGCTACCAACCTTTTTGAATGTTAGACAAATTAGAAGACTGCGGTAAAATTATCTTAAATGAAAGACAAGTTAGAAGACTGCGGTAGGATTTACCTTAAATGTAAGACAATGGGAGAAGATTACACTGGAATTTCCGTTAAATGTAAGACAAGTGCAGAAGACTGCAATGGAATTTCCGTTATAAGACCTTAACATTCTCTATCAGATATTTTTGCAGTAGTGACTTTTGACAAAGATAATGGAGTTTACAAGTTAGTGATGCTCCTTGAAATATAGCTCTTCCAGGCGTTTTACGTTACATAAATTCATGAAATCCAGGGGGAACATGTAATGTAAAAAAAAGTATGACCAAAATAGTTTTCATCATTTCTCTTCACCATATCTTATGTATTGTTTAATATTTGCAGGCTAATTGTATATTCTGAAGAAACAGTGCCTTTGTTTGGACCTCCTTTACCCAGTCCTCCAGTATTCGAGGATTTTGATGAATTTAGAGATTTTCTACTTGTCAAACGTAAGTTTTGTGTATAACTAGTCCGACCTGTTTTTTGAAAAAAAAACGATATCAGTAAACAAGTATGCCTTTGGATGGATATCTGCCTGCTTATTATTTCCCTTCCTAGAATCTAGATGTTATGATTGCAATCATGTTCTTGGATGTCCTGAAATTATAATTATCGAAAAAGGTTTATACTCATGCTTCGCTATGATTTGATGCGCACTCTAAGCTACACATATTTACAAGTATATCTCGTGAGTCATGTGTCTGTGATCGATGACAATTTGATCGTTGATGAATGTCTAATAATTGTTGGCTTGATTTCAGTTCTAAATGGGGAGAAAGCCGCCTTTAATACGCCAGTGTTTGCTCAAAAGCGTCACAGGACTTTAGAAATGCTCATTAGAAACTTGCACGAGGAATATTTACCAGAGAGCTCAAAGGTACAAAACATTAAAATACTCTGAAGTAGATTCAGGTGATTTTCACAGATTGGTCCAAGCAAATAATTATAAGCAAGCACTCCTATGTGTAATATTAGTATAAAGCATAGCTTCCGTTTTGAATATTTAAAAATGTTTGTATTTGCTCAGCTCGTACCTGTTGCATTTTTTTATGAATGTTAAAAGGCAAACCCTTTTTGGGGTCTCTTCGCTCGCAATGATCCAAACCCAAAAAGTGGCACCCCTTGACATTCACTTGTTATGCCCCTTCAGTTCATTATGTTTTGTCATATTCAAGTTAAGATTGATTATGAATTCATAGTAAATTATTTCCTACTACGTCCTTGATCCTGCGACCCTAGCTTTGGTCTAAAACCATATTAGGCTTCAGTTACACGGTCGTAATTAACCTATATTACTATTGTCTCTTTAAGAATAATATGCTTAACCGGAGGGCGTTTAGCGATGTGATTCCCGATGTCCATAGCTCCAGACGAAAGGAGGAGGCTAGATGTGCTGAGTTCTTGCGGATAGGACAGGTAACCATTGCTTTGTTTCTTTGTTTGTATGCATGGCTTCCACACAAGAACAAAATATTGCCTGTTTGGTTTCATCAATCAATAAATAGAATTTGACTATTATACATCAATGTGAAGTTTATGAGCTACAGAAGGCGAAAATTAGATGTACCTCTAAATGGTTTAATTGGGTTGCACTATTGAAAAGCACAATCTGGGAAAGACCAGAAATTGTAACTGGAAAAACACGCAATCCGTCAGTTCCTGTGAATTCAGCATGAAGGTGTCAATCATTGATTTTTGACTTGAGGAAATTGACGCATTTTCTCAGCCTAGTTTGCCTCTAGCCTCTATTGCGGGGTCTTTATTTCCATTGCTCAGATCATAGCTCAGATGGACGATCAGAGGGCAGAGATTACCTCCAAATATCAGATTACTATATTCTGTGAAATCCAATCTGTGGCATTTTTGGGAATTTAACAATTAATACACCAATGATTTGCACCAAAGAGAAATATATTTTGTTGTTATGAATCCATTATTGATTTGCAAATTGATTCGACTTTTTGTTGATATATAATAATAACTATATTACTATAAGTACGTAGAAAGAAGAAATAAAGTACTCTCAGACTTAAAAGGGGTCATTTGATTGGCCGATTCCGCATATTTTGCATTCTTTATCTATTTTCCAGGCACTTAAATTGAAAATTATTCTGAAAGGTGATGCACCTACGAGTATGATTACAACGGGTCTTCTTAGGCGAGAGGTAATTACTAATTTACCATGGTGACTTATTGCAACCAGAAACGCAAGCTTGTGGTGTCATTCTCAAATCGAATTTCAAGGAGGAATGAACTCAAATTTTATATTAAGTGGAAACATACCTTTGGAATGAGAAGCGATTATATGTTCATAAATCACCATAATGTTCTGCTGTAACTTTTTCCAGTGAGTTAGCGTTATGTAAAATGTCCTTTCTGATATTTGTCTTGTTTTGCCATTTAATATTTGTATTGGGACGGTGAAACAAAGAATCTAAATTTCTCATTCCGCTCCAACGTAACTCTTCCCTAAGCTACACTTAAATGTGAAAATGCCACTTCATACACCCCTACTGCAAATTCTCCCATATAATGTCAGTATGATACTTCTTTTTAGCCCTGGGAGCCACAATGCTTTCATCATGGATTTCCCTACTCGATTATATGTGGGGACTCATGGGGAGATAAACTAATCGTTGCAACAGAGGCGGGAACCTTTGTCATTGAAGGTACGACCGAAGCTTGGCCCATGTATTGACCAAGGCTAAAGTATAAAGACGTCATTAAACTAACAGAGATTACTCTATATTGGAATTATGTATCGTCTTTTGCCAGACACATTTGTAGGTCTTATGCATATGTAGAAATAACAATTGACAATATGATGCTTGATTTAAATGAGATTACAGAAATAGCATTTACCTCGCCCTGGAGGGATAAGCAGGATTATTCGGACGATTATTTTGATCGGAGTTTCAATAGCCTTCTTGGTGTATCTATATAATTGATAAACTAATCGGTTTTACCACCGTGACTCTTGTTTCAGAGGATTTGCCTCCGCGGCTGATATTTGATAAGACGATACCTATAAAGCAGTTGACGGTTGCAGAGCCATACGGTCTTCTAATTATACGTTCTGAGAAAGGTAAGTGTTTGGACTGGAAATTGGAAAGGAAATCAGAGCCGATGACGTTTCGGTTATTGTTATCCAAATTCTTTGTAATTTACGATATCTATATGTCAAGTAAACGGCAAAAATAAGTCTATTTGTATTTGAGGACGTTGGTCTTCTTTAACTTTAAAATAAAAATGATAGAATGGCAACAATAGTTATTACAATGTGTCGTATCCTAGTAACGTGATAAAACAATTAATTATAACACGTGTGTATTTTTGGAACGACGTTATTTTGACGATGTGCACTTATCAGCCTTTATAATATGTCTATTTTAGGACGAGAGGGTAGAATAAATGTGTTCAGACTTACGGAATTTGAAGGTGAACAAAACGACAATCTTGTCAGGACAAAGGCGGACTGCAAAGATCACAAAATGGAAAGGAGTAAAGGTATGTACCACTATGTCTCTCCATATCTCTACGCTACCCTTACTATCACACCAAATTAAACTAGTTCTCACTACGTTCTCGAAAACACGCTTAAACTGTGTATGAACGGATCAGATGAACTTAGAACCGTTTATGATCTATTTAAAAACGTCATGAAGGAACTCGAAAGGGAAGGTCCCTAGAACTGAGAGCAAACTCAAAAGTGTCTGATGGTCGTCAAGCCAATCAGAACGAGTGACAACATTCATAAGACGAGCTGGACGTACAACGAACGGAACTGCGGTACTTCAATCTAAGTAGAAACTTTTTTAGAATGAGTTGAATTGTCTGAGGACGTATTGAGAACGAGGTAGAACTAATTGCAAACGGGTTTTTACTGATTGCGGACGTATTAAAGACTGCTTATGAACAAGTTAGCTAAAATATAGCTATCATGCCAAACTAGTTGCGTTCTTAAAAACGTTGCCAAACTGGTTTACAACTGTTTGCGAACGGAACGAACGTAACTGCGACTTCCATCTGTCTTTTTACGAACTTCATGGACGTGCTCGGACGGGTAGTGATTTAGAAATTTGAATAATTTCTCGTTGGCGATCACACCGTTCTGTAATTAGACGATGTGACAACGTACTTCAAACGAGATAACCTATTAGACTAGGATTGTAATTGCGGTACTCCGACACTTCTAGGGACGCGTTAGCGACGTTGTGCAATCGGATACCAAGGGCACTACAGTACATGATGCGACATGAACGAACTGCGAATGAGATGGACGTATTGAAGACTTTTTATGAACGAAGTAGCTAATTATTTAAGACATATTACCCGAATACAGCCACATTTAGCCCATTTTACGACTTTACGAACGGTTGAGAACTAATTTGCTGTGATAGGGGGTGAAAAGCAGTGTGTGCGGATGGCGAATAGTAATATTATTTATTTATAAAAATCATACCTTGCACACTAATTACTTTTTTACTATCTGGTTTATTCATATAACTTTGTATGTTTATATAACTGCTACTTTGTGAATGAATGTGACCATTATGCCGGTACTCCTTGGGTACTCAAGCAAAGTATCGATGTGATATACTGTAGGTGTAATGTTCCTTGCTACTATTTCACTAGGGTGCCATCTATATGCAGTAAGTCGGCCTGGTGGCAGTCACCTGCGGTTGATAATAGCAGTTGGGAAGAAACTGTTGTTGTACACATGGAAACATTCAGCCGCTTGGGCAGCCTGGTGCCATTCTACAGACACCGACACCGTGGATGGATTCCAGTTTATTAGGGTAGATTCTTTAATCTTCCCTCGTAAAATTTGACAATCCTTATTACTTCCCATTAAATCAAGCATGTTTATTTTCGCATTGACTTTTTCTGTGTTATATTACGTCGGGAATTTATTACTTATAGTGATTTTATAACCAAATTAAGTCCTAAAGGAAAGTTTGCTAAACCTTCAGGGAAGAATGTAGCAGAATTAATCAGGACTTAACAGACTGAGTTTATTTCACTCAGTCGAATTCTCTAAAAAATATTTTTGGAGTCTAGATCAGGGATCATTAGTGCAGTTAACTATATATTCATCGAGACAATTGTTCGAATAAACGGGAAAATCAAATTATAGATATCGTGAAACTGTATCAAAATGTCTGTTGTGATTCCAGGAATTACAAGCATTTGAACAGCCCCAACTCATCACGCTTATAGATGGCTCACATGGCGACAATCAGATATGCGTCGGCTATAAGAGCCAGTATGACTTGGTTAACGAGAAAAATGGAGACACGCTTCAGCTGTATAATATTGAAGCCAATCGCGTCAATATGGTGTCATCAATTGACATATATGAGGACGATGAAGCGGAGTTACTACTCACATATAATCGTAAGACATCTGTTATTTTCAAAGAATGTGCATATCATTGGTTACAACTGGTTACAATGGGATCAGTATATTTGAGTTAATATTTCTACTGCTAATTAAAAGCATGGTCCGATTGAAATAGTTATATAATTGTTGAACTCTTAAGAAATGTCAAGATTGATGTTGAAAAAAGGATTCATGGTATCTTGGAAAGTTATCAATTATTTAACATATTGAAATCTGATTTGCTACAGAGTTAGAAAAAATGAATGTTTCCAGACAGCTCTAAAGTCATCAAGACTAATACAATTATAATCTTGTGTGGAACACATGTTATGGTACAATCTTAATTTTTTAGATATCAGCCATTTTCAGAAGTTGACAGAAGAGAGCTCACAGGAACTTGATTTCCATTGGAATTCTGAACCTCAAGCCATGGGTATGTGCACGATATAGACTGTAATATTGTCACCCGTCTGCTCCACCTTCTTATCTATATTATTTGTATCCAAAAATAGAGTTTTTGTCAATTCAAATCAAGTGAATGCTAATCACTAGTTCGACTTTCAAACTACCAATTCAAGCCTGATTTTTGGCGATTTTTAAACACATACGTTAGTTATAAATAATAGTCGATATTAAGTGAGGAACAAAACTAATTTCCAAACATTACTGGCCTACTCCATGTGGACTTCTGATTACCCAAACGCATAGAGGGATCGTGGAGTAGAGTTAGTAATGGCATTCTATATTTCTATCTAAAACATTCACTTTGCAGTCTGCGCTTTCCCTTACATCATGGCTTTCACCCCGGATACGATCGAAATCCGTTTGATAATCAACGGCAACCTGGTTCATACAATGACAATGCCAGACCTAGGACTGATTACATCTAAATGCGATGTTTACTTTATATCCTCTGCTCACGACATGTATATTCACAGCCCAACAGAACGGTGCAAGGATGCCTATAGTTTCTCACCACCACCCTCGCCTTCAGGTTTGTCTTTTCACTGTGTTGATTTAGTATAAGATGAATCAAAAACTGCTACTGACTCTCATTCATTTTGATACGGGAGGCCCCAAACCCCATCCTTGCAGATTAGATCAAAGTGACGATAGTGTTAAAGGCCGCTTGGTTGATTTCCTATTAAAACCTTGAATGTGTCTGATCACCAAGTTTCACGACTCAACCAATTGAACAAAACAATCGACTCATTATGTATTTTAATTATTTTTTAGTTCATGCAGCAAGTCCATTCAACATATACAAGATTCCGCTTTTGTGTCTGGCTGGTCAAATCACTAACGATAAGCCTCTCCATGATTCTCCCACCACACCTCAGCCTCAATCCATGTTATCTCCACTTGTGATGTCACAAAGTCCCGGATATGGAACGAAGAGCCCTCTATCGAAAGGCATAAAAGTAGCACCCAGTTTGAATAATACTTCAACAGAGGTAGTCTCAGATACTCAACATTTTACGTTTTGTGAGTGTATATATTATTTGCACCGTGTAGCACCTTGTGAATTTTATGCACTCGTATAATATGTGGCGTCTCGAGAGTGTTGCTCTAAAAGTCTTAAATGTAACTCAAGTATTTCATTTGGAAGGTGTTTCAAGCTAATTTCCTGTCTGTGATTTTTGTGAATCTCTGATTCAGTTTTATGTGTATGAGAAATGGTTTGATGTAAAGTAATGGTTTGTAAAATCTTTTTACTTGAACGTTTTACATGGTTAGACTAAAGTAGATCGAAGGTGATTCAGGTCTGCAACTTAAATTGACAAATGCCACAAGATATCAATTTCAGAATCATTAACTCACTGATAAATGGATTTTTAAATACATACGTGTATTCTGGTACGGTTACCCTTATCGCACTTATATCTCAGATGAAGAGGTTACTTTATGTTCAGTAACCCTTAGAATTCCAAATTGAAGTGAGTTATAACGTCATCGTTTCGCATTGTTACATGTTTGTCTTTCCATCGTCTTATTGTTGTGAGATAACTTTTGTAAAATTCATGGTAATCTACACATAACCAATATAATTGCATGTACGAGGGTCGTTTGATAAATACTAATACGCATGATTACATGTCTGTCTCTATGTTATTTGTAAGTTGTCAATTAATTTGCACACGACTCATTGCATGTACATGTATGTTCTGGAGAGATATACGATATTACAACGACCGTCCTATTTCTCTATACCTGAATCAGAGTCAACTTTCTTAGTGTCAACAATTTTTGAGCCTGGTTGAATATGAACTTAAAAATACAGTTAACGGATTTAATCTAATTTCAGAAACATCGCACAGACTCCAGTAGTTCAAGTGCTGACTCAGGAATCCATCTCAAGACTGGCGAATCCCCACCACACAGCCCCCGTATACACTTCGCTCTTTCTCTGGAAGACGACAATGTCGAAGAGACGGACATTTTATAAGTGACTCTGCGTTACTATCCGGAGAGCTTTTGGATGGACTCATGGAATGAGTGATTTGATAATGACGTTTTTTGGATTTTGGACAATATGGCTGGTCTGCAATTACAGTAGATCCAACATAAGAGTTCAGTGATTCGTGGTATTATGTTTAAACGTTGAGCTCATAAAAGACAGAGATTGTGATCATGACGTTGTGGAAATACTCGAGGAGTTATGTGTTTTGCCGTTTTTGCTCACATGTACACTGTTTCTCATTTATGTCAGCTATTTTCCGATTTACATTCGATTTCTATTTTAAGACACTTCACGAGAAATGAATAAAACGCTATTGTGCTTCTAATGAACAACATTTGATTATTTTTCATTTCTAAGGAATTAATCCCTAAAATTTTACTGAAACTGTAATTTGTCGATACAACTGGACATTTTAGAACAATCAGGTTTGCATATACCGTCATCCATTAAAACCTGTGTTATGGTTATAGTTAAGAAGGTGCATTGTTTTATGTAAAGTGCCAACATTCCAGATATATGAGCAATGGTGTATGTGAACTTTACATTTTGAGTACTTGGTGAATTTGAAATATTAACATATTGTGTAATGATTTCAGGATCTAAATATATCTATTTGAGAACACAATCGATAGTCTCATGGATTTCATTGATCGTATTCACTCTATAAATATGTACACTCCTTCTCACAGGTTTGGCAATGAAATGTCCGTTTTGGATCACCTCAAAGCCAATTCATAGACGTGTCGCAAAAAGGTCGCGCATGCATTGTTACACATTTTCGCTTTTTAACACCACAGAATGTGACGTTTTTCGAGAAAATATGTACACATATGGAAATCCTTTCGTCCTCCACATTTGCCTCTATATCTCAAAATATTTAAGGCGAATAACTCTGATATCGTATAAGTATTAACAATGGGATAGGAGCATCATAAAACACGAATCAATTGATATTTAGGTGAAATAAATATACGTGTTGATGTGCTTGAAAATAGGCGAATGGCGTAAATTAGCCCTATTTTAATGAATTTTGAAAACCTTTGGCCCTCCACTTTTCCACATACAACAGAAAACACATACTTTTGCGAACAAAAACAATTATTTATTAATACTCTAGAGTTTAAGAGCAAAATAATCATGTATGATTTATTAAAAATTGATCTCGTATTTTTTGTTTAAGTTGAAAAGTTGAAGGTAGCACAAAAATTAGCAAAAAAGGTCGCTGTCAACAGATTCTATTTTTCAAACTCTATGACGTCACAATATGGGACGCTTACTAAAATTCATCTTTTGAAATAAAACTTCCATCTACCTTTATCAAGACGAAAAATAAGTATAATAGTCATATATTGTTTGAGTTATGAGCGTTTAAAGACGAAAAATAATTCAAAATGTAACGTGTCAACAGGGGATATTTGACAGATGTTTTGGTAGAAAATCTTTTTTAAAAAAGAACGCGCAAGAATGGTAAACAGAGTGTAGTTGATCTAAAAACTTCAACGAAACAGCTTTAAAATGATATATAACTTTAATTAGAATATTATCTTATAATCCGGGGAATCAAAGTTACATTCACGCGATACCCTTAAAAAACAAATGCGCCACCTTTTTGCGACACGTCATATAAAACGATTAAAAAAATCAACAACGACATGTCATGTCTTTTTATGACCCTTTGTTAAATTCAAACGTATGGAGGGGTTGAGAGTATGATGATCAAATGTGGGTGGTGGCAATAAAGATATTTTAATAAAGATATATAAAGTATTGGAGAATGCCCATGAAAAATGCACGCCGCAAAAATAGTATTCATATTGTGCTGCCCAGATCAAAAGATGAAGAACATATAATTATAAACGAACGAAAAACATATAGTACATTTACCATAGCTGTCTAACTTCAGCTTATCTCAAGTTTTTTCATAAATTGGCAAACTGGGAATCATTATTACCATTGTTTTGCTGTTTTAAATAGGTTTCATGTTTGCCAATAATTTCTCAAATTGTGTAAATGGTACCCGAATTCTCCCTTTCGCGATTCGCTCTTTGAATCAGAACGTTCGCAAATATGCACCGAAAAAGCACTCAAAAATGACAAAATTTGATTGGTCAATATTTTCCCACTATGCATTTCGCGTAGCTATTTGCGTGACCCGAAAGTTATAAACCAAACTAATTACGCAATTTTGTTTTTACACCTGCACGCTAAATAAAACAATGACACCTTTGGAAATATTCTTCTTTGTCATTGCTTTAATAGTCAGTATACCGAGTTTAATCAATAAAAGATTGTACAATGAACAAGTACTAGAGATTTGCTTTCGGACCACTGAACAGATTGACCTAGATAATAGCGACACGTCTTCTTTTGTCTACTGCTCAGTTGTTTGTGTTTTTTTAACGTAACTCTTTAATGTAATTTGAAGATGAATACTTTTGTTCAGTTGTTGCATCGATGTTGCAGTTTGTAGTGCGGTAATATTGGCATGAAAGTATTGAAAGTAAAATAGAATTGTTTTTTTCCAATATGGCGACTTGTCAACTGATCACTTCCGGAATATTTTTTCACTTTTCAATCATCGTTTTCACCACGCTATGAATCAATACAATGAAAAAATAGCTGTTATATTAAGATTAATAAGAGATCAATCGTTTCTAATACTTTTTTCTGTACCCTCGTACGGGAATATGAACGAATATATCGTTTAAAAATAGGTGTGAAAATCCCCATGTTAAACCTATGAGGGAAAACAAGGAAGTATAAATCTGTTCCTCCGCGAACTGCATCATGGGAAATATTTTGACCTTTTAAGTAAAGATTTTCGCGTCTCCTCTTTTGAAGAGGGAACAACGATTTCGAGAATTTTTTAATCCCAAGAATTTTTTCTTTGAGGAATCTCCCTTAGTAACCCAATGGTATAGTAAGCAGATTTTGAGACCACAGGAAAGTTAATCATTAATACACACCTCATTGGCTTGTTATATAAACCAAAACAACCTTGGGATTAAAGAAGGGGTACCATTTACACAATTTGAGAAATTATTGGCAAACATTAAATCTATTAAGTTTGAAAAATAACAATACCTGTGTGTTAATCCATAGATAATCCTTGAAAATAAAAAAATATTTTTAGGATTATATGGTGCAATCTTATAGTCAATAAAATGTTTTAAAGTGTATTGATGTTTTTTAGATGAAAAACACAAGCGAAATGCATGAAAAAAGCTCCCCAGATTCATTCTACAAACAACTCTTGACATATTATCTTTGCTAAAAGATGACAACTGTACTTACATACCAGCTTTCTGCCACTCGTCATGATCACGATTGTTTTGGGACTACATTGTCATATATAGATATATAATTTTACTTGATAGAATTGAAAAGAATATAATTTAAAACATTAACATTTAAAAATAAATCTATGGTTTACAACTCATTTAAAATTGTAAGGAAACTTCAATATGGAGTCTAATACGAATTCAGGCAAAAACAATAGATTGTTAGCTTTCATGAATTTTATTTGTATACTGTCTGTGTCTGATGTTTTTCAATTATTTATCGCCATTGACTTAACATGGGATGGAGGAGTTGAGAACTTTACAAGGCATCCCCGCTGTCAAATGATTGGCATTGCATTGATCTTCATAAATCGGTGCAGGGTTGTTGCATTGCAGTGCGACATGTCTATTTCCAGGAAATGTAGGTCGTATGAACAAAATATTGAAGCGGAAATGGAGGACCTTACAAGCTGTATTACAATAAGTCATATGTTTGTTATATTAATCATAGGTTGAGAATAATAATGTCCCAAGTGCCATTTTTGAAAAATGAAATTCACAGACTTCCACTATTTAAATCATCATCCCTTACCTCTATCTCATCTCACAATAGCTTGCTTTTCAGTGTCAAATTGTCCTAACTCCAAACAAAATTTAAAAATGCGATTCAACTTTGTTCTATGTATCACTTTATCCAATCAAATTGCTTGAATTACACCGTGTGACTAAGAATTAATATATTACAATTTTAAACTGAGATTTGAATTTATTTTGGAAAAAAAAGAATAGAGAAATTTGTGTCCATTGAAATACATAGCAAAATGGACATAGCTCAGCTTTAATCCTTCGATTTTACTGATATGCTCAAAAATTGGCTCAGAAAAATCTAAAAATTCATGAATTCTATATCTTTTGAAAAAATAGAAAGTAAAAATTTCACAAATGACAGATAGATAGTTTTGAAGTTACAGATGCCTAGTAAACTTTAAAAAAATTGATTTCTCAGTTTCACAAAAATGTAAGTTGGGACATTTTTATTCTCATAGGGCGTCATGTCATGCCAGGGCAATCTTGGATTTTACAGGATATCCTCTCTGCCAAATCACTGGCATTGCATTTATCTTCTCCATAAATTGGTACAGGGTTGTTGCATTCTCTGGTGCGACATGTGGTAAAACATTGTCCACATGATACCCCCTCACCAGGACCTCCATGAATTAGAAACAAAATGGCCTTTGTTATAATAAATAAGGAACAATGCGATTACATTGAGAACCCCACTGGTTATTTTTTTAATTTTAATTTTCCAAATGACTTTTTCCAAAATTTACTCTTGAACTTAACAGGACATCCTCTCTGTCAAATCATTGGCGATGCATTCATGGGTTGATTGTACCCTCAATATAAGCAAGACCAATTGACTTAACTATTATTGTATACATATATATACATTGTTAGATAATCAATAGGTCCAAAATATATGCCTGTTTTCATGGTCAGAATACTTGACTACTATACGTTTCAGTTTATAAGTGAAAACCATCACAGCAAGACTAATTGACTAAACTATCATTGTATATACATTTTTGAGATAATGAATAGGTCCAAAATACATGCATTCATATGTTTTCATGGTCAGAATACAGTCATAATACGTTTGTTTACGCAAATCTACGTGGCCTTTTGGAACACGTTTTGTTATATTACTTGACTACTATACGTTTCAGTTTATAAGTGAAAACCCGTGAAGTGAATTCCTGTGCCTTTTTATGTGATTTTATAATACACATAAGTGTCTGTTAAATCGCTTGGATGATCACATATCTTATGTTTCAGCCAGCAAGGTTCGATAGCTGTAGGATGTAAACTATAGACAAACCCAACACATTCTGTACGTCCCAGGCACATTTCCGCACACTCATTCCTGTTTACGTCATGGCCGGATATGTCGCCACCAATATCCATCCTACCCGAAGTAGTAGTCGTAGTCTTTTATGCACATGGAAATGAAACAAATAAACAATTAGGCAATTTATATTAAATTATATGTATATGATCAGAATTGGTCGCAATAAAGATCTACGTAAATATACAGTTGTCATGTCAGGTTAATACTCAATGCAACAATTTTACAATTGTACATAGCAATTGGAGATGTCCCAAATAAAATTACCTGAGTTTAATATTACCCCCCTATCACACCAAACTAGTTCTTACCCGTTCTTGCCAGTCCTACGAAAACATCGTAAAACGGGCTCAATCTGGCTGTGGTCGGAAAATATGTCTGAAATAATTAGCTTCTTCGTTCTTAAACAGTCTTCAATACGTCCATCTCGTTCGCAGT